CGGAAATCGTAAATTTTTCAGGTAAAACGTTTGACACAAACTTAACTTAAATTTTGACGACAAATCTGAAAATGAATGAAAAAAGGGGCGATTCCATTTAAAAAACCAAAGTTGGTAACTACCACACGTTTATAATACACCCCGTATATTGGAAAGTAATTTTAAAATGTGGACCTTTTAAACATGAAAAACTTTCGTAGGACGTATTTTCTTGTAAAGTTCATATTTACTGAGATATCGCACTTTGACGCACTAATGAGCAACCCTGTATATGGTAAAACCACATTAACTAGATGAAGATAATTGTTAAATATGAGTTCGTTCTGATGCCAAGTTATGCTGAAATTTAGTTGCAACAGTTAGATTGGTTTCCGATTCATAAACCTTTGGATGACTTGAATTTTTTGATCTACGCCAGTCTTTTAAGGCAAAATAATGATGGTCTTTAAATTTACAGTCGACTGAAATGAAACCGATAGAAGGACCTGATTTGTTTTAATTAGCATTGTTCTTAAATTGATTGCTGATTTTATATTTCTCGACTTCTGTTTTTGCCAATTGAACCTCTCTTTTAGTAGTCGGCATTTAAAAATATTTTATTCACCTGGCAAATTAGCATCAAGGGCAATGATTTGGCAATGATGAAAAATCCAAATAAAACAAATTATAGACATAAATTAAACGGAAAATTTTATTTCAACTAACTTCAGATACTTTCGGTGTATTGCCGGATCCTGATCTAGAAGCATTGTTTGTTTCTTTTAATATGACCATCGGGAAATCGACGCACATTCTTCCGGAATACAAGGTTATCAAATTTTTCGCTGATCAGGCATTGCACGCTATAATATAGAGTTGCTCAAAAGTGCATTTAGGTGGAGGCAGATTTTCAATATAGTACTTGTTTGTGTTGATCGATGTGGAGATAAATTTCAGCCGACTTGTTCACAGTCATTAACAATGTAATTTTCGCTTATGTTAAAAAGAACCAGCACAGACTAGAATTTACTAACAGAAGTTAGTAAATTGGCTAAATTCTTAGAGCATCATGGACGAAATTTATCGACATCCCTCTGAATAAACGAGCTGAGTGCCAAGTTAAGCAAGGTCCAAGTTTTTTGCATATGATTGCAGATAATATATATCGAAGGAAGACAGTTTAGCAAGCAGGACCAGATATCCTGAAGCTTGCACATCCTGCGAATTTGTTGGGAATAAAAGTCGCGCGCTCAGCGTTTCGCCTCCGAGCACGGAGCCCTTGATTTATTTCGTCCTGGCCCCGGCTAACTATTCCGGATCCACTACAACTTGCTTCCGGTGTTTAAATCGATCCGCGCCATTTTTGAAGTAAAAATAAAAATCTATACAAGACTCGCCGCATATAAATCGTGGCGCCCGTGCCCGGACTTACCAAAGAGTCCGCGTCGCTTTCTTAAGCCATATTTTAAATCTGGAATAACCGCAATTTGAATATGAGATAGCATTTTTATCCGCTCAATTTTACGCTATCGTTTAGGGCGATCTTTTAATGAACTGGCCTGTCCCCTGTTATTGTACCACATCCAGGCAATCCAGCTGTCCTGGTCCAGCAACGAAGAGATAAAACCGAACTCATTGTGGGCAAACTTACATGAGAATCTCTACTAAGCTGCAATTGTACAAATTCACGTGTATTTGCCAGAAATTTAACTTATTAAAGGGAAACTATCCAGCGGGAAATCCCCACTTGTTTTTTATAGACACTTAAACATTCTCAGTTGGGGCAAACCTCGCTGCTTTCAGCAGCGTGAAAATTGGCGCAATTACGCGTCACCAATTCATTGAAAATAAGGGTCTGGGAAATATCTTCAATTCTTATGCTCGCCTGAGGATGCCGATCACTAAACCTAGAGAAACGTGTTGAAAAATAATTCATCTTTAACCCTATACATCAAAAGCGTTGCTTTCTTTCTCAAAACTTTCTGGTTAATTATTGGGATTTAATCTATCAACGCGTTTTTTTCATTGCATCGAATAATTTGGTCGAGATGTTTTGGACACGGAGTTGACAATTGGAAAATTTCCGCAAATAATGACGATTATTAATATAACAACGGTCCCTGACAACAGCCGATAAATGGAAGTGTTTTATGGCCCCATTAACTATTCCATTACATTTGGATTTTGATGCTACCAATTGCCGTTGATAGTTGCGCCATGGAAGACTACAAAATTTATGGGCATATAATTTTGTCGGCTTTTTTGCCTGACTAAACTGACATGATTCTGGATAAATCGTCCGTTTCGAGATTTATGTGCCAGCTTCCAGAGCTTTGGTTTGGCGCAAAACTTCACAAACACACGTAGCGTAGTGCAACTGGAATTAATGCTTTTAGCTGATATTTGCTTCTTGTTGCCGGTATTAGTCAAAATATTGCCGAAATAAAACGAAATAGAATGATCCGGGTTTCCGACTACTAACATTGAGGGCTGTTCAATCATTCAAATCATCGACTGGCATTTTTCGTCAAATTCGTACATTCTGCAAATCATTATTAATAAAAGCTACGTCCTGTGACAGCGGCCGATAAATGGAAATGTTTTATTGTGCCATTAAATATTCCATTACATTTGAATTTTGACGCTCTGGATTGCCGGTGATATCCATTGCCTAGCTGTATCCATTGCTTCCGAATTTATGAGGATATAATTTTATCCCGCTTTCAATCAGAACCAATGGGAAACGATTCGGGTCGCATTATTGTTCTTGCAAAAATGTGTTGATGAGCCAACGCAAATTGGCACGCCGAGAACAATGTTTGATTTGAATTTGATTGATTTTTTATTGCTGTTCAACCGGAAATGTTTGTTATTGCCGTTTTGCTGACTAATTTGGACCAGACAGCAAACTGGACACGTAACAACCCTTTAACTCACATTGACGTCGATTAAACTTTGCCTACGTTATGGAGCTCGATCGCGTTTCTAGTTAATTAACATTATTTACAAAAGTAAGGATTTTTTATTAATGAAGAAATTGGAAAAATTTGCTCTAAAATAGAAAATATCTTTAATTGTAAGTTCGATTATTGGTGTTTTTAAGCCCAAGTTTGCCAGTTTGCTCTGCTTGGTTTAGTTTTCAAGTGAGAACCGTTCGCTTAAAAAAAATGCCAGGTTGATCCGTCAGGATGTTTTGCTCTTCTTGCAATTCCAGGTTTACTAAGTACTCAAACCTTCCAAATCCTTCATTGTTTGGATTTTTATATACCTTCTTCTGTTTTTGGTACGAATGTTTTATAACTCGTTCGAAAAAGTTGATACTTGGTTCAGTTTAGAATCACGATTTTTTTCCCGCCGCTTGATATGGAATTTTGAAGTTTTCTAGCTCAAGTTTGCAGGCTTCTAAAAAATCAGTCAACCTTTGGGGTTTCCTAAACTCTTTACCATATTCTGCTGACTTCCTTGTATACATCGGGCCGAAAATAGTTAGCGGCTGCTTCCTCTTAATTGTTAAGCTACAATTTTTGAGAAGAGTTGTGTAAGTGGGAATTTTTGCGTTTTCAGCACTCAGAGTGCAAGCTTCTCGAAAAGCCACAAGTATTTAAATTTGCCCATTAATTTTACCGTTCATTGTGCAGTCTGCTCTAAACTTGGATAATAAATTTCAAGTCGCTACTGAATCTATTTTTCGAGTTATGATTGTTTGATGATATTGATAACAAGCTTCATTAAATTTTTAGGTTTTTAGGTCTCAGTTTGCCAAGTATATCAACAATTAGTAGGACTTTAAACCGTTGAACAATATTTATTATTTATCGCTTAAACTGTTCCACTAACCTTGTAAAAGGATCAAGTCTTCACTGGATCCAGTTCTCAAGCTACAAATTTTGGACCACAGGCGTGGTAGAACTTTGGAGTTTTTTTCTCTCAGTTTCCAACGTCTCTCCAAAATCATTAAAAGTTTAATTTCGCACAATTACAGTATTTGTCCCTTCAAATTTTCTATGACCGATTGAAAAACTTTTAGATGTTTTCTGGTCTCAGATGGCAAGTTTCTAAAAAATGAGTGTGCTTATGAATTTCTGGAAACGCCTATAATTTATTTCGAAAAGTCTTGTAAAAGTCATGTGAAAATTTAAAGTTTCTCGTTTTCTCGTCTCCCCTGTTTTCAATCTACAATTTTTGTTAACGGTAGCGTAAATTTCAGTTTTCGCGTTTTCAAGTCCCACTTTGCAGTGTTATGAAAAAATCAGGAGATGTTTGATTTTGTATACAACTTTTCCAATTTTTTTGATCCATGTGATTCATCAGTCAAGTGGAAATTTGATATTGCTGGATCATCAATATCCGATTTGGAATTTCCTATATCAAATTGGGCTCGATAATATTAGTACCGTAAACTAGCATATTTATCAATAAGAGAACTTACAGTTCTGGTGATTTTAAAAGCTATTCCCGATGAAGCAGGTAAATTCTTCGTTTGGAACGTAAATTTACATTCACGTTAGAATAACAATGCCTCTGCACAGGATGTTTTGATGAAATTGCAAAAAAGCCTCCTTGCATAAAGATGCAAACTTACATGAATAAAAGAAATTTCAAGTTCTTTGACTTGTGAAAAAAATTGTATTGTGAATTATAGAACAAAAGAACCGAACTCAACAAAACCGTCATTACATGACCAAAGTTTATGTTTTTTGGACGAAATCATTTTTACATTTTTCTTTAGCCTGGATGCACGGGGTGGACCGCTTTCGCAAGCTTCACATTTAGCAATGGGCGACGATCTAGGAAGACGTTCGTACTTTATCGCTGATGAGGAACCATCGAAAGCCCGTCTCAGAATACAGAACGCCACAGAAAGCGACCAAGGAGTCTTCCGGTGCCGCGTGGATTTTGTTAACTCTCCAACCAGGAACTTCCAGGTCAATTTGACTTTAGTAGGTTAGAACTCTTAGTATTTCTATCAGTTAATTTGGCCAATAAATATCCATTAAAATACGAACGTGAATATTTAAAAACGAGAAAATATTTGTCTGAAAGAAAGCAGCAGGTTTCGATACAGATTGTTCTGGAAAAAGAGCCAGCCCTCGGAAACAGCGAGTAAACAATCCTTTCGGCACCTAATAAAAGAGTCATTAAAAAGTATAATGACGGGAATAGACCCTTCGCGGTTTTTTTTTCAGACTGGGGGACTGAACAAAGTGCTTGCGTTTATTTAGAACTTTGGACCTTTCTCTAACGGGCTAAAGAATCGTAAAGTATTCTGATGGGGGTTTGTTCGCTTTTTAGTTAACGAACAGGCCCGAATGTCTGAATTTAGGACTTTCAATTGTTGGGGAAGATTTGATTGGAAAGGGGAAATTGGAAAAAAAATGAAAGAGTGGAAAATGTTTTTGCGAATACATGAACAAAAATAAGATAATGCTTTTTCATTCATACTCATCTGATTTGGACGGTTGACAGGGGATAAAAAATAACTAAAAACACAACTGCGAATTTAAAAAATTCTGGTTGATCTCCATAAAGAAATCCACCGTTGGAAGCTAAAACTTTTTTAGTCAGTTATTTCAATAGAAGCTTTTATTCCTGAAGATGGCAGTGGCACGAAAATAGGGCCACCGTAGTTTCGATGATTTAACAAACATTTTAGACGAAAGCTCTGGAATTTCATGAACATGAAAAAGACATTCTGAGAAATTTCAACAATATAAGTTAATTCTGGAATGTGAAAATAGAGCAGTCAATATCTACAGTAATGCTAGATAATTTCCAAGAAAAGTACTCACTTTGGGAGCCACTTAAATCAAGCTAAACAAAGTACTTCTCCTTATAACCATAAATGTGTGTCAGCGAGCTACGAATTATGAACATCTAAATAAGCAATGCCAGTGTTTTCTTCTGATTCCTCAATGAGATTGAGAAGATTTTGCAGATAAGCCCGCACATGTTGACGGGCAGAAAAATAACACCGGTGTGTGTCCAAAGGCTTTTGAAGTGCTAAAATCCGAACTGGAAAGCGGCCACAAAGGTCCACACCAAACATTATACTTTCTAATGAGGCTTTTATTAGGTGCCGAGAAGATTGTTTACTTTGTCCTTTGCTTTTTCAGAGCAGCCGTCGAGGCCGCGAATATTCGACGCCGAAGGGAGGGAAGTCAAGCTGAATGCGACTGCTGGGCCCTTTTTGGAAGGGCACGAACTCTTTCTGTCATGCCAGGTCAATGGAGGTGAGTCCCTCGCAATTTGTTATCTCGACAGATAATCTTTTTCGCAACAGAATCCCTTGCGGCCTTGTTGGGTTTGCTTGGACAGTTATTTTAGATAAGCTTTGGACAATACAACAGCACTTTCATATGTTAATGTGTCACCGTTTTTGCAGCAGCCGGGAAAATTTTGTCCGTTTTTCTTGGAACGTTGCTATTTCTGTTAGCGTTTCAACTACAAACAGCGGCTTATTAACTGACTTGGTGTTGCCAACATAACTTAAGTAAAACCGTATACCCGCTTGTAAAGTTTAACTCTTAAAGACAGACACGAACTGTTTCCATCACGCCAGGTCAGTAAAGGTGAGTCCAAAGCAATTTGTTATCGGTGACGGAAAATCTTTCCTAAGGGAAAGTAAAACAAATGTTGGCCGCTTCAGCTTGAAGTAGCTGCAATCGCTCACGGATTTTAAACTTGTCCGTGCTTGATGAAGGACCCAGATTACGTTGCGGATTTTAATTATTTTGATTTAGTATTGCTCGGATTACGGTTCTCTAGATGGTTTTTTCTCCGGATTGGGTGAAGTTTGAGAATTGGATTGAGAGCGAAATGGCTTTGATAGTGCAACGATCTGGGAAATGCTGCGTGTTTCTTGAATAATTTATAAGTATCTTAAGGGCTAAGTCTAGTTCATGAACGAGGATAACAACTAGTCCAACGTTCTAAATTGAACTATTTTATCTGTTGTAACTTAGATTGCAGACAAATCAGTTCCAGTTCGATAGTATTTCACAATAAGAAAGTTGAAGATCAGAGAATTTATTCTCCTCCTGATAATTGATGAAACTTTAAAACCTTGATCAAAAGGCTTTTTGATAAACTGGAATTTATAACAAATCATCAGCAAATTAAAGGATTACAAACACAAATGAAAAATGTTTTGAAGCTTTGAAGCATCTGCTATCTCAGAAACGAATAATTGTTCAGTCTCAGATGTTCCACGCTTTTCGATAGATGATTTCAAGTCTTCCTTCTATTAAATGGGTTTCTTGCGAAAGCCCGAACCCTTAAATAAACTGCCCAACTAAATAAATGTAGAAAGCGCCAAATATTCCCTAACTTTGGAGCTTTGAGGCTTTTTCTAGGCCCTATCGATCCAATATGAAAAAAGGGATTACTGCAAAACCAAAAAGTATTTCTTGAGCTCACCCTTTAGGTAAAAGGAAAACTCAAAAACCGTTTGGAGCTACCAGGTCTATCTTCATGCCACTTATCTTGAAATCCTGCTGTGCATTGTTTTATTTTGCACGGTGTAGGAAGTTGATCTGAAGCGCTAACATTTTTGAAAAACACTTGCCGACTCAAAAATGATTGGACTAGAAAATTTTTCAAACAGCAAGCATATCAAAGCAATCAGAAGTTATCCAGTACCGAAGCTGATGCTTTTGTTGAGCAGTTCAGAGAAAAGCCAAAATCAGGCAACGCTAAAATTTAAAGTGGTTTATAACTGGGAAAGTTGAAAGCTCAAAACACAAACTTCAATAGTATTTTTCTAGAATTAATTTCGTTCCATGTAAAATTCCTGACCTCGAAAAAGATGCAGTAAAAATGTGAGGAAGTTCAATCTCAGATATTTAAGCTATTTTCGGCGGTAACTTTTCTCTGGTCGAATTGCCCAAGTCGTTTTAGCTGGTTTGAGCAATTTTCACGCCACCAACTTGTTATTTATTTTGAAAATTTGCAGCTAAAATTCGACTCAACTTTGCCTCCTCACTTTGTAGGACATCCGAAACCGAATCTCGTCTGGTGGTTTAACAACACGATCTTGGACAATGTGGTGGATTCAAACAGAGGCTCCCAAACGACAGTAAATCAACTGCTAATCAGTTCAGTGAGCAGAAACCTCAAGGGAGGACGTCTTGAGTGTCGGGCGTCTTCCTCCCAAGTAGCCGGAAGCATTGTCCGCGTAGTGCCACTGAATATATTCCGTAAGTAGAATTCCCCAATGCGAACAATATCCTCAAAGCTGTAGGAAAATCGAATTTCGAACGCGAAACAATGCGAAAGCCAACAATTTGAACTTTACAAAATGCACACGCCGATTAGCGATTGTTCGGATTCATTTCGGTCCGGTCCGGGGACTGTGGCCATTGTGAAGAGTGAACAACAATTCTGGCAAAACGAAAACTAGACGCTCGAATAATAAATCACATTAAACATTGCAGAGTGAAACTAAGTTGTAATGCACCAGCTTTATAGGCCACTATTAACAAGTTTCCAAGTTTAATCTGCAGCGGAAAGTTTCGTTCCGCAAGAGATGTGTTGGTCAGGGCAATTGTTGCTGTTTATGCTGAAGGCTTTTGACATTAAGGATATCGAGTTTTACTATTTCGGGTTAATTACCTAATGGCAGTATTGGATCTTGCATCACTTAAGAAGCTTAAACACAGTGAATCACTGACTGCACTAATGTCTAAACTCAGTTAAACTCCAGCTGTTTTATTTTGAAGAATCGCTCGGACAAATCAGATATTTTTTGAAATTCGATTTTTTAAACAAATTTATTTATGCGGGCTGGTTTAAAAATTAGTTATTTTTTCAAATGGAACGGCCTACTTTTTCAATTTTGAATTCTCCATTCGATTCTAAGTGTGATTTTGCAATAGTTAAGTTCAATGGTGACCGAGTAATTCACGACTGGGCGTCCGACAAAATTAACGACAGCTAACAAATATAAAAAAGGCGCTTTCATTTGAAAAAATTAAGCTGATGGTGGTAATATAAATTGTCTTTTAAAACCAAACATCTATGGGTTTGAGAGTTTCTTCAAAGAAGACACTGCTGAATTTGAAAGGAATTCAAAATTATTTCTGGGACTCAGTGTATATAGCTACCAAATGGGAGGTAAATCAACAAATTTGCAGTAAAATAGCAAGATGTTTGCAACAATTCCAAAGGATCTTTTGAATTTTAACTCGACCTTAACGTAATGCAGTAGGAATGACAAGGTTTTATAGAACAGCTGATATATGAAGAAGACACTGTCCGGCTTATAGCAAAATAACTTAACATTCTACTTAAAGCAAAAGGAGAATCAGTTCTCAATGAGTCAAACACATTGCACATTATTATGCATTTGATAGTGCAACTGCAAAATGCCGATTTAGCGCTTATTTCTCTTTGATAAATTGACAATTTATTTTCAAGTTAAACCCAACAAGGTGAAGATCGTCACTCCCAATAACTTATCAAGCGGAATATCGCAAACCATTCGATGTGAAACTTCTGGTTCGTACCCGCCTGCCAAATTAACCTGGTTATTAGACGGAAAAGCGATCAGGAATTCAGTTGTTACGGTAAGTAAAAATGAGCTAAATCTTTTCGTTCTGTTTCTTTATTTTTCACGTCCGACGGCGTTTTAGGTGCTAAGGAAAATTAAAGGTTTCATAAATATAATGATGGATTTTTAATATGCTCGACTCCAACTAGCTTGTTTTATTATTTTATGTTTCAATTAGAAACTGAAGGTTGATTAGATTGTATTGGATTCTTCTGTTCGAAAACAAGTTCTAAAAGCTCTTGGACGTAATAAATAAGCTTACAAGTTCCATCATCGAATTACCAGAGTGCAAACTAGCGGAAATGTATTATCTCTTGGTCTGGTGTAAGTTGAAAAAGTTGACGTCCACAAAATTAATGCAAGAATTGAATTTTGGCGAACTCAGATTTCGTGTAACTTTTAAGTGGCGAAAGCTTTTAAGAGCTTCCAGAGAGTCGACCGTGAGCTTTGTTAAATTAATTTAAGCAAGAACCTGAAAGATTTACGAAACAGACCAATTACGAGTGTATGTACAATACATAGGTCAACGATGCCTGCGAGGGCCGTAAGTATAATAATTAAATTTTCATACTAGTTGGGGAATATTTAGGCTCAACTGTTCTTGTTGCTAACTATGAACATTATAAACTTAGCCACTGAACTTCTGGACCGTTCAGGTTAATGGGCGCAAGAGGCCTTATTTCTGCAAATGGTCTATTTGGGCTCGGTTGTCAAATCACTGAAAATCTCGGAAAATAAGCTATCTGAATTATTGCAAACTCTAATTGAGGAAGAAATAACCGAGAATTTTGGGGTACTTTTCAAAAAGGGCACAAAAGCCAGTAAGATTGAAAAGATGCATTTAAATGTAATTTCATTTTGTAGGAAGAAGAAACAAACTCGTTTACCGTCAGTATTCTGACCCTGATGGTATCCGCTGAGGACGACGGGAAAATTCTCGTTTGCCGGGCGGATAATCCGCGTTTTCCCGGGGGATCGGCTCAGGACACGAGAAGGATAAGCGTTGCATGTAAGTTTAAAGAGACGCATATTAGGTTAAGAGGGCACAATGGATTATTTGCATTCCATGAGCGATTAATTTATGAGCAGAGAGATTGCCGTAAAGGCAGCGGCAAAGTCATTCAATTGAATATTAATGATTATTTCATAGCGCTGGTTTAATACCGAATTATGTAAGGTTGTTAATTTAATTGCAGACCAACATTTTCATGTGTACAAATAAATACATTAATGCTCTGCCTCGGCAAGAATAAATTAATTTAAAACGAAAATATCTACTGCATTTCAATTTTGCATATAATCCAAAATATTTCAAACGCCATTACAAAACATATCCATTTGAAGATAAATACAATTTATTGTATCGAATTTGCTGCAACTCGATTCTGTTGTGTTTTTCATGCGCTGCTGCAAATTTATATAAATCACAGACAAATGGGAATTATTTCGAACAAAACACATAAACACTGCTTAAAATGATGTAGGCGGTTTTTTCATTAGAAATTGAGGAACATATAAATCTTAATGAGAGCGATTGCGATAGAAGCCCAGTTTTCATGAGCGTGCATGTGCGGATATTTTCAAGTTTACCTGCTTTGATACTTAAACCTCTTTGATACTCAAAGCGGCCACATACCAGATGGCTCAACCGAGAGTTTCAAACGCGACTGTTATGGTTTTGAGTGACCGCGGGAAGAAAATAGCCAGTGCTTGAAAGTATCTACCTTATTTCAGCTTGCACGGTCCGAAAGCATTGAATAGAGTTCAAGAGTTTTTCAGAACGCAACACTTGCATATCGAAATCACCCGTGATCGTCCTCCCATTTATCAAAAGATTATGACTACAATAGAAACTAAATTCAGAGAATTTGCTGCTGTAAAATATTTCTTAAAGCTGGACGTTCTGCTGGAGATAAAAATGAACTCGAAGTTTTACCTTCTTTGGGAGAAAATCCATGCAAATGTTTCGAAAACACAAATATCCTCCTTGCCAGCGCAACAATTGTTCGATAGGCAGAATGAGTTTTGCAAAACAATGCAAAATATCTGCAATTTATTGGGTCACAGAAATTCCACGTTCGGTGATGTAGGCTCACATCAAATACCCCCGAAAAATAAACATGTGGAGTGGAATAGTGCGCGGAAAAGTATGAAGGCCATTTTCCTTTGAATAGTCTCTAACTGGACAAATGAAAAAAGTAAATTACCATTACAGCCAGATTTTCCCGACGAACAAGTGGTTTTCCAGCGAAATTGTGCTGAAAAACCAAAAATAAAACTTTTGAAAATTGATGGATAGGAAGCACGACATTTATGGCCTCCTAGATCGCCGTACTTAATGCCCAAAGATTTATATTTGTGCGGTTACCTAAAACATTTGCTGGCGGACAAACCATCTGAAGGAATTGAAGGAGAAGATCCGAAAGAAGTGCATGCCGAATAATTACTTAATTTTATTGTTGTTCTGTTTCTTGAAATAAATCGCTTCGTTCCTGGACTACCGATATTTGCAATAAATGATCGCAATTAAATATTAACCGGTCCAATCACAAATGTCTCGTTAACTGTTGAGTTTAAGCACATGCTACTTGAATCTCAATTAAAATTCAATAGGGAATTTTAATTGAAAATAAAAATCAGTTTCATTCAATTGAAAAAAAATTACTCATTTTCGGAACTCCTTGCACAAATCCATTTGGCACAAAAAAATTGCATTTTTAAATTAAAACTCTAAAATTTGACGAACTACGATACCTTGCCATTATTTTTTCCGAACAGACTCAAAGAAATCACAAGTGAAGGAATTCAACAAGCTCATTGTGAACTCCACAAATCGAAAGTAATTTACATTCATTTTAGGCGGGTTGGATATTTAGTTAAAATAACTCAAACCTTTCCTTGCTACTGTGGACTGAAAAGAAAATATACCCCTTCATTGAAAGCTTCGATCTGTTTACGATTTTTCTCTTTGCTCATATGCGATTCAACTGTATGAGATTGGACTTTGCAAATTTTAATATTTGACGACGAATTTTCAACTAACTGCAGTCTAAACCCAGCGGAGGAACGTTAACAGGTCCAAAAGCGCTCACGCGAACACTGCCAGCAACGAATCCACAGAACTAACGTTAAAGATTCAGCATCAGATGGAATATTATTCACATCCTTGCCTTAATAAATACAATTCTTCTCCTTGCTTATCACCGCCCGCTAAATAATTATCAATTTATTTTAATTGGAAACCAGTTGGGCGATTAATTTGGATTAAATTTCGATTACCCGCATCGAATCCGATGGTGTGGCGATTCCTTTTAACAAAACCAACCCGGTGGCGTTCCTGGACGATGCGAACGGAATTCCCAAGTTCCGGACAGTCACGAGTTTTTGAAACCGAACATCACAAATTGCCTGCTTAGAATTCGAGATCGCGTGCCTTAACCTTTTTAACTGGAAGAAGCCAACCCAAACTATATTCCAGAGGTAAGCAGAAACAGTTTCCAATTCATGCCCCAAATGCTGAAGAATACATTGAAATAATGGGGTTTCGTGTAGTAAAAATTTTTTTATTTGATTTAGATTAGCTGGAAGGTACAAAAGTATTGGCCCATAAATCCGAAAAAAAATTGCAATAGAATACCTTCAGGTTTTTATTTTAGGAGAGTGTGTACGTACACTATATACTAATCGACTCAAATTACCCTTTACATAGACAACAAGTACCCACGTTCCCAAAATGCGATCTGCATTTTATATAAGTAATTTGCCGCGAGCTCGCACTAATCTAATTTGTTACCCAGTGGGTTACCGGAGGGGTATTAGAAGGATGTCCTTTTGTTTTCCACTAAAGAGGTAGAGGGATCGTAAAGCTGGCCTAATTTGCGAGCCCGAGTGTCTCGTCTCCATACGGTTTTATTTTACACATCCACAACGAGTTAATTTCACTGTGATTTTGTATTCAATGTTAACCCCTGTTGATGGAGAATGGAGAAGCGAAATATACACTCTGTTAGAGTTAAGAGCTTACCATTTTTGTAACCATTTCAGTACAACTTTTTAATTAGATAGAACATTTTTACACGGATGAAGCAACATTTAGGGCATACGGGGATAGATTCCCACAAAATAGCAGAATGTAAAATGACCATGGCCCAAATGGGTAATCTATTTTAAAAGGCAAACTCTTTGAAAGTAAATAATAGCCTTGATTATAAATCAGAATTCTATTGATTTGAATCTACAAGTTTTATTGCTGCTTCTTTTCTACATATTTTTATTTTCTGGGACACTTTCTATAGACTATCGGCATGGGCGAAGTAGTAAACTGATTCGCTGACCGCTAAGATCTTCCTATTTTAAGCATATAGATTTTTGCCTATGGAGAACACGAAAAATATAGTTGATACCACCGATTTCGGACACAAGTAGCGATTTTTGATCGCATTAGAGAAAATTGTCGTAGGATATTTTGGCATGCATATGGCAAAAAGGAATTTGGTGAACTAATTGAAAATAGCGAATTTTAACTCTAAACGTCTCTTTTGTTTCAGTTTAATAATGAATGAAAATGTAACTCTTTATTTACTTCTTACTATTTTTTATGTTTTTTATGAGAATATTACATATATTTTCTACGTAAACGCTAAAAATTGGTAGAGATGCAATTTAAGCAATTTTAAGTGCGAATCGTTCTTAGTTCGTGCACTCAATCAATTTGTACTTTTAGCAATGACAATCAATCGATACGAATTAAAGATTTTTGCAATAGTGGTAAATTCATAGCGATGACACACTATATATGTTACTTGCGGTACCGAATAGATCTCTGATAACAAAGAATTAGTGATTTCAAAATCATTTTAGTCAAACGTTTCCCCTACCTAATAAATCTGGTCTGACTGTTGCAGAATTCTAGGGGAGTTACATATTTTGCAAAATTTACACCCTAAAGGGTTTGCTTCCCATTGGCTGTGCTACATTCGCAGAAAACAACGTCTTACATAAATCACATAACAAATTGAATTTCAGTGTTCTGTTCCAGATCCCCCGCGGGTTTCTGTCGCGTTGGACTCTGGATTGGTAACGCCTGTCCGGGATGGAACAGACGTTATCCTGCACTGCAAGACCTTTGCCAATCCTGAAGCCCACAGCTATAACTGGTATCATGACGTAAGTGACATTTTATATAAATCCAGCGAACTGGTGAATATAAGGATATATTTAAATGTCCAGCCATTTGAATTCAATGTGACCCCGGCATAATTAAGCTGAATATTTCCGATGATTTTCATATTAGTTAAGTTGACCCAAAAAGCTGTTTCAGGTTCTTCATTCGGTTGCATAAATTTCACCTCGCATTTTCGAACAACGCTCATCACTCTTAACTAATTTCCACGTAATCACTATTAAGCTACAGTCTAATTAATCGGATGTTTTAGGACCCCATTAGAATATCGCCCCAAAAATCGAAGGAAAAAGCTATTCAACTTCCAGTTTGTTGTATTTATATCGTTACTTCTCGAGCAAGATCCGGACTTAATTACGAGGGATTTAGGCTCCCTTCTACCTATTTAATGGAAATAAAAGGTCGTCTTTATAATACCCTTGGGGCTCATCGTGTCTCAAATTGGGTCGTTGCTGGCATATATCAAATCGCCCAGTCTCTGTATCGTCGCCTATAAAACAAGATAGCAATAAAAACAACGACATGTTCCCTCTATTCAAAGTCAAATTATACGACGGGCCAATGGATCACAAGTGATCATTGAACATTTATGGTAATTCCTTGCAATCAAATATCTTCTCAAACAGTAACTCAGTGCTCAAATCCCAGTTAAGAATCAGGAAAGAACGCCAACATTATGTCTGGTTCATTAAAAAGTTTTCGCCATAGTGAACCAGCTTCGAAACGTAATTAATTTTTAATGAGCAAAAAAGTAGATTCATGCTTAACATGGCTGATAGCATGTAAAATAAATTTGAAAGAAACTTAATCTTCGACATAATCTTTCACTTATTTGGCCGTAAAGTTTCCTGAGCGAGGCGCGTTGATTAAACTTAAGGAAGCATCGGTTAGAAAAAAACACCCCTTTCCTTCGATCCAAATCAATTAAGCGAACGAAGATTATTTCCGGCCAATTGATAGCAGCTAAAAGTATCAGGTTAAAGCAGGTTTTCTTAAACACCAACCAGACAACTTATTGAACTCCTCGGTTCGTGCACGTTTATTCGCAGTAAACTCCGCTTTCTTTTTATCCGCTCAATAAGCTTCGTTCGCTTTTTATTCCGACCAACATTTATTCGGTTGCAGAATTCATCTATCAAACCGACAGCAGATTTGTGTTCTTGCCAACTCTTAGGTTCGGTATTTATCTTTGTCCTTTTGTTTTCCTTTCCAATCACATCATTCAGTTCGTTTTCCAGTCAACCTGTGCGTATTTGCTTTGAATCCATTGTGCTCCTCGACAAATCAAATAGTGTCTCGACAAGTGGGTTATAAATTTTCTCAAACATTTAACTGAACTACTACACTGTCTTTTTCGTGTTTATTGATATGGGGAACGAATTTATCAATTCCATTTTATTGTTTCAATAGTCTCACAGGCCAGCGTGGTTCGAATCGGAAATCATTGTAAAACTCTTTTCCCGTGTCTGTTCAGAGAATTTGCTAGTATACGAACAACAGGAAGTAACTGTAAAAGTTTATGAAAACTGCTAAAAGCTACGACAAGTTATTCCCAACAACAAAATTGTATTTAAATGTAAAAGCTTTGCGTAACATACAACTCAAACTCGGGTGGATATCTAAGCTGTTATGGCGCAGATTTTACAATTTAATAAAAAACGAAATTACTGTTCAGAATCAAATGTTTAGATTACAAGACTCCGTTATCTGTTGTCAGGTTGAGTAATTAATGCTTTAACAACATTTAATATTACAGTGCAGTGAGCACAAATGAAAATATCGTCCCTCTTCCATATGGCCTCGACAAAATCAGATTAAATATCACGAACAACCCTAAATCCTAATTAACTCCGTTCTGACTTAATTAAAATATGAAATCTCATTTACAATTCCGTCGAATAAAATCTTCGTTGTATAATTAGTTTTATTTATATTCGAGCTTTCTATGCAAATTTTCTTTACACTATATTGTGTAAGCAAAGATAAAATAAATTAGCCTGAGCAAATGAAACTAGCAAAAAGTTAATTAAACGAATGATGACGGAAGGGCTGCGATTTGAGTTCACGAATTTTGTGCTTGTCTGAACCAGTGTCTTGCTGTATATAAAATATTTTTTAAAGCATTCAATTACATTTGACCCTAAAATTTAGTTGCGTAGGGCGTGTAGATCGAACAGATGTAGGAGGCGAATTTTACAACACCTCGGTAGTGATTTTATTAAAACATAAGAGCAGCGCAACATCTAAAGCTGAAGCCATCAATTTAAACCAAAAGTCCGATAAGAGCGAGACATCATCCGTATTTATTTATTCCCGGCCATAAAATTGACATAAAAGCAACATAAAAGCTTTATCTGTTTAAACGTAATATTTACTTGGTCAGTACCGGCGGATATTTTCGTTTCGAAGGAAACGAAACCGACGCATTAAAAGAGCATCAGTCTCGAAAGCTAAACAGGCCGAGAAGAGATAATGTCGGTTAGACAGCTTTGTGCGGCAAACACATAATTCTCACTGCCGCCTTTCCCGTTTCTTATGAAAACGTGCACACACTTGGGAAATTCGTAATTTCTTTTCCTTCATTTTTCTATTTTCTAACGGAGATAAGGCGCATAATATTACGCGATGCCGTCTTGTAAATTATCATGGGGGCTGGCGAATGTTATGATTGCGCACTGTCTGTGAACACTAAATATGCTTGTTCAGTATTATGGAATTTGTTTGGCAAAAATGCCCTTTTTCCTGCTTTAAAAAGCCGCAAAGTGCATGGCATCCGCCACAGCAAAATAATCAGTTATTTGCCTAATTGTCTGCTAATGGATTTATTTAGAGTGATTCAAAATTCACATTTTGAATTATGCCTTGTAAAGTAGAAATCGCGCAGAAACGAACGCTTAAATACATTGAAAAAGTTCCCAATAATATAATAAATTCACCGAATTTCAGCTATACCCAAAAAATGTTTCCAACAACAAAACACCGCGTTTGCATAGTAATCTTTGAAAGGCCAACAAAATATATGCAATACACTAAACTTTCAAGTAAAAGTGGACACTACGCACCGATAATCTAAAATAAATTGATGGTTACAAGGATATTTCGAACCAAGTATAAAAACGCTGCCGAAAAAACCATGCACAATTTCTGTTTATTTAGCTGGGCGGCATTATTGGAATTTAATTAAATACTTTAATGCGCTTAAAAACAGTAAATAATTCGAAAATAGTCTATCTGTATGGACATGCAATTGCAGCCGGGAAGCCTGCTTTCATTAAAATAGCGATTACATGAATTAGTGAAAATCGATGCTGGTTATTATTAACATATTAATGCCATTTTTGTACTTATTATGGAATAAGCCATATTTGCAGAAAATATGCATTGCAAATGAACGGGCTCTCACACAAATTGGTGCATGACTGCACTAACAAAAATAACTAATTATCATAATTTTGATTATATTCATATGAACCATAAATAGCCATAGAAATGATCCCGCTAAATAATCAATAATGACTACATTCAATTTAGAGAAATACCTCGAACAGCAGAAGCAACAGCGCAGCTTATTAATCTGCTCGGTTGGTTTGAAATTAGGCACTGAAAACAGAGAGAAATCAAAAACAAATCGTTTTTTTACGTTCTTCTTATTATATGTTCGGGCTGGTTTTTATGCCGGTTCTCTTAACACAAATGTACTTTTCAGCAGTAAAACAGCGGCCATAAAATATTAATGCTAACGTTTTTTACGAACTACTTAAAGAATTTAGCAAATGCGACTTTAAATACACCATCTCATTGAAGAATTTTTACGTTATAAGTACCCGTTACCTCAAATTTTCCTGTTGGGAATCACCAGACTTCTACATTGATTTCAAACAATGTTTCAACATCTCCATTAAATATTTTGTACAAATAAACAGTTCGTTTTTCAATCGCGATTGTTTAAAATGTCACGAGCGTTCTAAATAATTTAAAAACTCCCCTCCATTGTTCGTCCAATATTTAATAAAATTAATAACGCACATGTGTCATAAATAATATTGTAAATGGGATGCAAAATCAACCGACTGTTCTAAATTAGCAATAAACTGACACAATTTATTAAAAAGCACGCTAGAGCAACAATATTGAATCCAGAGGACTCGCATGAGTATTGGTAATTTATAGTTGCTTTTTGAATGGATTTTAACCGAAAATCAGTCAATATCTGAAGCTTGAATACATTAACTGAATGGATTAAGCTGCTCTTAATACAACGAAGTCGCTAATAAACGTACCATTTTCGAATAGAGGAAAACGAAAAAGGCAAATTCATTACTCTTTAAAAATTTAAAGCCTTGTGCGAGACCATTATCGTTATTACCGGAACTTTAGGTATATTAAATTTTATGCAGGTATTATTTCAGCGGAATTTACGACAGTACGAACACAATGAATACGAGTACATATAGGAATTCCTTTTTTGCCGCTAAACAAAGAGATTTTAATTTGAAAGCCCTTTTCTCCTGTTCCAGGAATAGTTTTTGCTTTAATTCGGTTGCTGTCGAGTTAGCGCTTTTGAAGTACCCGGCTAAGTTAGTCGTAATTATTTTTCAAATTTATTTTAAATCTACTACTCTATATAAAAAAAGGAAAAGTTAGAAGCTCATCCTGATGATCCTTATAACAAACTAATCCCAAAATAGCCTTTTGAAAACGTTTATATTCTGTGTGCTCACAATAGCAGCCTCAAACTTGTTAACAGCTTTAGCCAACGATTATTGAAATTTCTATTTCGAGCTATTTTTAGCTACGCATGAAGTCGGTGAGCCTCAAATCAGCTACACCTAATAAAAATCGACAGCTGCTTATTCAGTGCGGCTTATGAATGATAAAAAAGTATTCAAAATGGGCAAAAAGCCCTGATAGAAGATCACAGGTCCCAAAATATCTGCTGCTATTTACACGTTTGATAGAGTGAAGGTTTAGTAACCCGAATTAAAATTGTTTGAATTGGGAAAATAGAATCAGCTTGATTTTACCGTAAACAACCACGGAGTCACACAGCGCTGTTGATTCGGAAGCAACTAGATTAATGTGCTGGAAAATAAATTGAAATTTACAATGCGATCAGCTGCAACATGCAAAGTTTTTACCAGGCATGAATTATTTATTAATACCCGGTTGGTGCTCTGAACTGTTTAGTCATTCGTATCGCGTTAAAAATCGACCACTAACTTCTGTCTACGTTTATTTTCTGCAGACTCATCTCGTTCCCTACAACGAATCCGGTGGAATTGTGCCAAAGAAGGACATGCTGACCATAAAAAATATTAAGCATAAATCAGCCGGCCAATATATTTGCTCAGCCAGAAATTCGGAAGGGGAAACCTACAGTCCGCCCTTAGATCTGACAGTTCAATGTGAGTATAAATGTTTTGATCCGTTTGTTTTAACATATTTTCAATTGGAGCTGGTTAATAAAGTAAGTTAGCCCAGATAGAGTCAACGAATTGACTGACTTCAAGAGAAAATTAAACATACGACAAGCGACTGCGACAAACAAGACATAAAATTACAATAAAACAACCGTCAAGGGAATGCTTGGCGCACAAAAAATGATAAATTTCGCGGAAGAGGAATTCTGACGAGGTGTCGTCATGTGCAGACTTCGAACGGAGTCACGCAGCACACGTAGCTATAAATTTTACTTACGAATATAACTAGGAAATCTGGGGAAACTCTAAGCCAAGATTGTACGGGATTTTTTCCGGGATTTGGTCTGAAACACATATTTCTAGTTCAGGGAGATTAAATCGAAATTGGATTCATGGGGCATTCTATTCAGTGCGGAAATGCTTGTCCAAAAACTGCAGGCGTGAAACTCATTTCCCCAGTCAAAACGAATTAACAATTTGTCACAAACAAATATCGCGAATTACGAGACTGGGGGCTGGAAAAGTTTACTAGGCTTTGAAATGGAAAATTACAGCTTTCATTACTTTAAACTGTTTTGCTTTCAAATTTCCCGATCATTACATCAGTTTCTTGTAAAAACTCGATTCAGTTACTGAGTAGTTAGCGTTCATTCGACGTTCTATAGCTGAATTTTCTGAAAGCTTGCTTTCATTCAATGTAGAGGAGCTGAAAAATTAGTCCAGCTAGTCAATTACATGCTTTTTATTCTATAAATTTATATGAGTTCTGATGAGATTTTGCGGCGAAATTCCAATTATCAGTTTGGTAACTCATCAGGTCTTCTAAGACATAATTTTTAAGTTTCCAAGTCTTTGTTGCTTGCTGACAAACGGTTCCACTGATTAAAATGGTAGAATTTTAAGTCACTGATAATAACTTTTGAGTGAATTTGATCAAAAGTAATAATTTATAAAAAAAATATGTTTCATTGCATGATATTCTAAAATCTTGGCGCCTGACCTCGAAAGAAAATGATCTAGTTTTGTTGAACACTTAGCAGAAGACTCGATTTTGCAATAATCCGCTCCAAGTAAATAAACTTACTCTCTTATTGTACATCTCTTGTGGGAATTAAATATGAAGTAATCAAATTCCAGTTTCCGCAAGAATATTTTTCATATCAGATGCTTCCCAATAGTAGATTAATACATATTATTTAACTGTTTATACATAGTTTTTGTATCATTCATGTATGCTTTTATCGGTGTACTGGAGCAATTATTTGCCCCCAATTGGAAAAATCGAATGACAAACCTACAACCTGTTTTTTACCTAAAAATTATATTTCTCACCCGCAAGGCGCACCCCCTTTACTGTGGTTTCCACAATAAGCTTCCGAATGGCAAGCTTGCTGAATAATTGTCTTCCATCAGTTTCCAAATATTTTCTATTGTATTTATACATGCACACCGCTATTTTCGCTATCATCAGCGGCAAAAAAATATATTTACATCCAGAACGCGCAATTATCTGTTGCGTATAAGCTAGTTTCAACTCCCGTTCCTAAACGTTCTAGTCTCCTCCTTAAATCATGTTTCGTCCATATTTTCATCCGCGTTCCGAAAAGCTTACACAATCCATGTCTGTCTGATACACATTTAGTTAGTTTCAGACCCTCCCAAGCCCGCATTCGATTGAAAGTTTCACGTCGACTATTGGATTTCTGCACCGAAACATTGCTGTCCTGGCAATGTCAAACAGAGGAAGAAGCGGTTTGAAACATACCTTGAACGAACAATTATAGCTCGTACGCCCTCGGCGAATTCCAGTTTAACCACTTTATATGGTTTGATATTTGTCTGTGGGAATCCCGAACGTACGGCAGGTTTTCCAATTGCCTGTATTAAATTTTCATAACTGCCATAAAATCATCTAAGAGAGCCGAAGCAGGAATTGAATTTTCGAGCAAACGCGGAGATTGTGTGAGAATTAGTCGAATCCCCGGTTACTTAACGAGCTACTGCACAGTGCACAGAGTAGGTGAAGGAATAATCAGGGAAATTTCGGCGTTGTAATAGTGAAGAAATTGTGAAGATTCTGGAATGATGGCTAAAGAAATTTGTCGATATGGGCGAATTAAATTAGTGGCAGAATTGGAACTCATGCCCCAACAACACGTCAAAATGGAAACATTTACACAATAACAGCCTCCACATAGAACAGCTGCATCTCGATTAGAAACGAAGCAATTATCGCCACCGAAACAGTTCGCCGGAAATTGAACAATTGCGAAGCAACTATGTGAAGCCATTGTAAGCCGTTGTCCAAACTGCCTAAACCGCACTTTGCAATTTACCCTCATGTATACGAATTTGCTTCTCGCACTAGATTATTCCTAAGGTTGATATTTCTTTGTCGCACTCCTACACTAAAGTGTGGTTCCGCTGAAAATTACAATCGATACGATCTCCAGCCAGGCGAAATCCTGATATAATGTGAAGTATTACGATGGGGCCCAATTAGTAACATCTAAATTGCGCACTGATATTAATAGGATGTCTAATTGGACTTTTGCGTGCCGATCAGCGTTTAGCAGGAGAACACGACAGGAGAAGATTTCAGGACAATGTCCACATTTGATTCGTTGGCTTTGTAATTTAATAAACCAGTAGTGCTTTCAACGCTACTATATTCTCGTAAAATAACCCTTGAAATAAGAATTTTCGCTAATTGAGTGTAATTTTCAATAAAACTAAAAGAAAATAAATTGTGAACTTCGAACGGTCCATTCCAGTTACCTGGGGGCATAGCGAGGCTTCTTTTAAATAATGCACCAATATGCAGGGAGTTCGAGTTTTCGAAAAATGTTAAATTGTAGATACCTTGAATCACACGCTTTTGGAGAAATCGGTTGCAAACGAATATAATATCAATGAACTATTATCGGAATGCAAGAAATTACTTAGATGATTGTGAGATAAATGAATGGATTGGACACTAATTGACTTTTTCCTTTGTTAAGTTGCCATGTTAAGGCTTAAGTTTCTGAGCAGGTACCAATATTAACTCTAGACATGAAAACAAAAATACAAATAGAATCTTTCAAGTTTAAATAATTAATATGGTAATATAGTAAAGGAGTTTAATGTGTTGGTGTGTGCAACATTTCTCGATTTTTGAAATCCACAAAATAAACTTTTAAATGTTTCAAGCCTCGGTTCTCTTTCGTTCTGTGAATATCGAATAATAATGAATTATCAGAGAACAAACACTATATTAATAATTTCCTAGGAAGTCAGATTCATGATAACCGACAAAAGTTAATATTAAACTGGAAAACTTGTAAATACAATCTGCTCTGTCCTGTGAAACTAAATTATTTACCTCAAAAGAGCATTATTTTGATGGCTTAATTGTTGAATGATCTAAAAAAATTAATTGTGCATATTCCCGCAAAATTTTTTTTTATCCACAAAGAAAACTCAATTTTGCCACCGATTTACTGGGAAACGCGTCATTCAAAGTATTCACAATTTAGTGTTATCTGAAAAACAAGCTTTAAAGGCTTTGAAGATAACAAAACAATATTTGAGGCGTTCCATTTAAAGAATTACGTTAATAATCTTTATAAAAAAGTATTTTTCTGTACATTGGTGCATTCTTTGAAACGAGTATGATTTTTCAGCCCTCTTCCACCCCAGTCCAATAATAGACATATTATACCGTACAAATTCCTTGTTCTCCAGATATAAAAAGGGCTGCTGGTTCGATTTCGCTCGCTTAGCCCTCACATTTAAGAAATTCCTTCCGTTAACGCCGCTCTAATTAGTATTTTAATGCGTAATTTATGTGCGCTTCAGACAAACAAATCCCCCAACGTCGTCCTGTTCCCCCATGCTTTCTTTGTTAATTAAAACTTTCCTGTTCGGTGTACCTTTATTGCAACCCTATCATACATCTTAATAGTGTTGACTTTGCAGATTTTAGCGTTTTTTTCAGCAGAAAACTCAATATCAAGTTGAGCACTTAACTAAATATATCCATACGCACAAATACGCTTAAGGGTTAAACAGTGCTTTATCTTGAAGCAAATTATTACAGATCCAAAAATAAATTTTGGAAATTTACAGTTTTGGTGTGTTTTAGATGAGCCTCGCTGCAAGAAGAACCACGAGCATGTGCGAATAGGAGTGATCCCATATGAAACTATCGTGGTTCAGTGCGTGATAGATTCCGTACCAACAGTGAACAGATTTTTCTGGACTTACAACACAACCCAAGGAGTTTTCCCGGTCAAAGGTGCGAAAATCGAGAGCAAAGGAAATGTTTCGGTGCTCTACTTAAATGCTTATGACGAGGCAATTGGATCTTTACAGTGCTGGGCTGAGAACGAGGTTGGAAAACAAGCAACGCCGTGTTACTTTTATGTGGTACCTGCTGGTGAGTAAATGGATTTTCTTTGGAAACATTTATTTGGGTCACTTCTGAGTTTAGATTCTATCTAACAGCATTTATCTGTTAGGAGTAAAAAGGCTCGTCGATATTTTCTGCATTAGGGCCGGAACCATAAATAACCGGCACGAGACAGAGATAGAATTAATTGTTCGAATAGCATACAAGTTCGGAAGAAAAGCTGCTCCACAATAGACTCTCACAGTAAATAACGACGAATTTAACGGTCAGTGAAGGGATGGTCTGAGTGCGGAACCGTGTAAGGAGAGAGGAGCTAAAAGCTTGGCCCACCATGTGCCAATACGCCTATTCTGGTGCGAATTTATTTCAGGCAGGCCGCTTTCCCTAAGCGACTCTTTTCACTCTTATTAACATGCAAATTATTATTGGCATCGCCCAAGGATATTCCGCGGGCAGTCACTTTTATTGTCAATTGGGAATAAAATTGACGGCAAAATAAGTCCAAAACACTCACAAGAGGACAATGTTTTGCTCAACAAACCCGGACAAATTTTTTAACCAAAGTAGAAAATAACGATAATACTGAAAAATGGCCTACATTTCTGGTATTGATCATAAGCTAATTAAACTAGCGCAACTTTCACGTTGCGAATATGTGAATGATACATCCATCCATCATACCAAACTGAACCGGATTTGTGAGGCGGAACAGCTTTAATCACGCCAACCTTCAGCAGTTATCTTTAAATTTTACAATTTCCGGGCCATTAATAATCATAAAATAATTTCTTTCTGAAAGCCGGCATTAATATTCGCACTGGCTGTAGAGTTTAATATCTAGGGGCAGGATAATAACATTATGGAAAGAATATGGCTGGAAAGGCGGCTCTGTTGGCGTAATTAAAATGAACACGTAGTGGCCAAGATCGGCATGCCAGAAACGGCCAGAATTTGAGTTTCCACAATTTGCGGATAAGTAGCTTTTTATGTTAGGAATCACCAGTTCATCTACTCGCATATGGAAAGTGCCAACTTTCCAGAACACTTTTGCGCCGTTCCGCAAAACTCTCAACACTAAAATAAAACGATGCTCAGTTTCCATAAGCTCTCGACTATATACCAGTTCATTTAATAACGAGGTAAACTTTATCTAGCTCGAAAATTTGATAATAAAACTTGAGGTACCTAATCTGATTTTCATATTTGCATCTCTCGAAGTCTCATGTAGACTCATGAATATTGAAAAGGCTTAACTAGTAAAGTTACCTGGCAATCTTAACCGCAATTTAATTAATTGCGTTCGGAGAAGATTTTCAAAGTAAATTGGCTCCAAACTCTTCAATACAAGCACTTCTTGGAAAGTGTAAACTCCACAGGGTGTAACCGTTCGAACTTTAGATGTGGCGCAGTTTAACGAGAAACCCAGGATCAAAGAACTTTGAACATATTTAAAGAAACACGTTGTATGATTAGAGCAGAGTGCCAGTTTTCTATCATGTATTTGAATTACATCTATACTCGTTTGCTTCATTTTTTATCACAAACTTTTTTCAACAAAGTTTTGAAGCTACTGAAGTTAAAAGGTTTGACCACACAAGTATGGAGCTTTCATCAGTTTTTTGCTTCAAATATTTTAAACTACTGAAGTTAAAAATCTGTAACTCAAGTATGGAGCTTTGGTCTGTTTTTTGTTTCTTTTTTCTAATCGCCAAAGCTACAAAAGATTTGTAAACAAAAGCTTTCTGTCTCATGAGTTCTTTTCAGAATTTTTTCAAGGCAGTGAAGGTTGAAGATCTGAACTTCACTGAGTGAACCAGAACCAGCGAACACCCAGTAACAGGTTTCGTCAATTATTCACAGGTGAACACACTGTTGAAGAGAGCCGCAATTTTGCTAATTAAGTTAAGGTTTGAGATGCAAATATTTAAATAAACTTACTGCCGGTTAGCGCATTATTTCGACTCATATAAGTTTCGCTTCGTTATTAAACGCGGTAATTTAAACGATAACGACTCACTTCTGCTAGTAAGCTGCCGCAGTAGCTTTGCTAGATCGGTATCTTTTTAACTTAAATAATTTCTTTTATAGTTTTAACATAAACATAAACATAAACAACCAGTTGTGGAAAACGTTTAATAGAAAGGGATTGAAACTGATGCATTCCAGATAATTTGATACAAAGGGTTTCAACCCTCAGTTTGTCCTTAAAGTTGGAACATTCGTAAACGACAACTCCAAAAATCAATTCCTTTCCTTCTTTATATTCGTTGTGTTTAGAGCCTCCAGAATCGCCTAGAGGTTGCCTGATCAGGAACACCACAAATGGGGGCTTGGAAGTTTCCTGCATAGCAGGCAAAGATGGAGGCCTCCATCAAAGCTTTGTGCTGGAAGTGAGCGACTTGACGGGTCCAGCTCCTCCAGGTATCCACTCAACATTAAATGATCAAGGTTAGAACTGAAGTATCTGTGTCGTTTTCGTTTCCATGTCTCCATGTTTGGCCTTTGATCGTTGCTTTGCCTGCTAACAAACACCTAATGGAAAGTGCAAATGACCAGCGGATGGTATTTGTAGGAGCACCCGAATCTCCAGCGTTTCGAGTGTTGGGAGAGCGGCCTGTCTTCAAGTTGTTGAATTTGCGACCAAATCGACAATATCAAGCGCTGGTTTATGCCGAGAATGCCCGAGGGCGCAGCGAGCCGCCGATATTGCTGCCGCAGATTCAAGTCCAACAGGAAAGAACGTCAGAAGAAGTCTTGGAAGATGGTAAGTCCAAATTTTAGCGCTGATTTATTCCTGTGTTAAACTGAGTGTGGTTTAAGGCGCTCAGGTGTACAAAATTGCAAACATTCCAAACGGGAAGGTTCCCTCAGGGTCTTCGACTAGTCACCATTTGACTATTATCATTGCGGGAGTTTCTGCCACAGCGATTCTCCTGATTCTTGCCATAGTAATCGCCGCTACAGTGATCGCATGTCGCAAGGCACCCAGTAAGCTCAGAAAAAGCATGGAACATCAGAGAACTTAACATCCTTTTTAAGGTACGGTTCCTGTCAGAAGACGGGAAAGACGAAGCAGCAAACCTCCGAGCGACTTGGAACTATCCGAAGCCGGTTTTGGTGAAGGGTTCCATCGCAGAAGTGCTCTGTACAGGGCGAGCATGTACGGAGAATGCGAAGAACGTATATCCAGACTGATAGAAGGTGAGCAATTAATGCGGTTGGTAAATGTTCGTAATTCCATAACGGATTGAGTCCACGCGAAACATAATATAGACACAAACATATAAACTTACAATGATCAAACAGCGCCGAGAGAACCTTTTAACACAGAGCATCCATTATCAAATTGGAATATTTACTTGAGTGCTGCTGCAGCCTCGTCCCTTTTGCATCGGATCGCATTTCCGCGTTTAGATGTACATGTTTCATTGATAACCCTCTGGAGCGGTCCAGACCACAATGGAAGATAGATGGTGTCGTTGTGTCGTCTCGTTATCCGGCTGGGACATTTTATTTTGGCATATTTGTATTGAACGATCCACCGAAAATTGATGTCTGTGTTACTTTTTGAATGGCACTCAGGCACTCAGAGGCCGATGAATTGTAATTGATTTTCCTAGCTAATCGTATCCCCAATATCCAATTTTTAGCGATATTTGTATACGAACAAATTACAAGGTCCAAGCGGTTAAACACTGGATATTTACCTAACCAATGTGACAATATACAATGTATACACGAAACACCACTGGCATTTATGCATGTAAAGTATTTAACCCTCTGTAAGGGTTGGCTGACACGATCTTTGCTGTTATGAGCACGTGCGGGTTGCCTGAGTAAGACCAGAGAGACATTTTCTACTTCAATTACGGTCTCGTCTAAATGCTCGCTACGCCAGCATACAAATTACGAACGATCCTTTACAATTAGAATATTCAGTTTAGGAATATTACTATGCCCCGTAAAGTAGAAAAGGGGGTAATTAGCGACATCCATTTCGCTGCCCGAATTTAAGCCGGTCTGGATAGTCGAAGGGGGACGGTTAGTCTAGTGCGTATTTGTTTCCAGGCCATCAGGATCCAAATTCCGTAAGTACTTTCTATCTGCATTGGCCATTCCATATTCAGTTAAACAGACGCATTTGTTTATTGTTTTCTATGGGGCAACAAAGTCGTGGTCTGTTTTGCTTGATATAAATGATGGTCCAGTTTCCAGAGCGCCAACGATAGAGAGTATCGTCCTTCTGGGTGAAGTCGGACAATTTTTTCAGTTTTGCCTTAATAAAAAGTATAATTTTGAAATGAAAATTTCAATAAATTAATTTAGAGTATTCCGTGTCCGGAACCAAAACGAATTAACTTTTTATTCCTTGCTAATTTTTTTTAGATAAAGGGTGCCCGTCTGCAATCCTATGTGTGGGGTGAAGGCGGACGACCCTTTATTAAGCGTTAAAAATGGTCTTAGCACTTGGTAGAAGGCGTACTCTTATTCTTGAAAGTTTGTCTTCTTCTTGTGAAATTAGGTCCTGTCGGCCATATGTCTTCGTTTTTATTTCTTGTTTCTTATCGTGTAAGGTGTCGAATATCTTCAAAGTGCCCTAGCGACGTTTTCTTCACTGTATTTCTTAAAATTAATATCGATTTTCTTTTTATACTGTCTAACCATGTTGTTCACCTTCACCTCTATAAAATGACTTTGTTTAATAAAATGCAATTCTTAGAGACAAAAACAATATTTTCCAATGAAATTTCCATGGGTTTACTATTAATCCAGCACATCAGCAAAATTATATCATTTGGATTTTTTATTTTTAGTATTCTCTTGTGATGACTTTTTGAATTAGAAACTGAACTGACGAAAATATAAAGGTTGGGTACTCTTTTATACGGTGCTTCAAATGATCTTTAATAATGATGATGTGAAAGTCGATTTTTTTTTTAAATAACAAGTCTTCCAAATCGCTTTTAATTTTATACCTTTTTTATTTTTGACCGGTCGCGATATCTAACATACAATATCCTCCTTATTATTGAACCAAACGGTTGAAGTATGCATAGCATATTTATTGCGGAGCCTTACAAGTGGTAAATAAGACATTCGCCTTAAAAACACGCATGCAAAATTTCGGTCTTTGACTGAAAATTTCATAAGTTGTTAAAGTCAATTGAAGAAATGAAAATCTCCCAAATTACCTCAAATTCAATACCTTTTTTATCACAAAAAAGCAAGCAAATTAAATTATTCATTGAAAAGTTCACGTTCCAGTCTTCAGATCCGAAATAATTAAATGCCCCATTTTGGCCGATTTTTAAGTCGTTACGATATTTAACCGACGCCATCTTCCTTATTATCGACCCGAGTATTTTAAGAAAAAAAATACTTCAGCACTACTTTTTCATAGAGGACTTCATTTCTCGTTCAGGGCGACAAAAATGTACTTTCAATTTATCTGTAAATCTCAACGTTCTCAAGCAAAAACTAAAAATAATTGATAATTATTTAATGAATCTGCAACATAATAAAGTCACAATAAACATCCAAGAATTAGAAGACCCCTTGCTTGGTATTTTACCGCATATTATTGCAGACTTGCTGAACTCAAAAAATTAAATCATCTCTAGTTAAAACTGGAGCTGAATAAACTCTCTCTTTCTCATACCCCTAATCGTAAGTAGGTCCAGTGGATTAAGATCCGGCGATCTGGATGGCCAGACTACTGGTTCAATTCCATTGACCAAATTATAATTAATTTGATTCCTTCCTAATAGGTGGTAAATCATCAATGCAGTCCTGATTAGTGAGAAATTTGAGCAGATGTTTACTTACTGAAAATTAATTTTGCAATTACCGTGGATTAATTTTTCGAAAATTCTCATGTTCCCAAAGATGCAGATTATGGTAATTCGTGATGTTGGTAGTATTTGTGAGTCAGTAATTCGTAAGTTGCTGAGTCGCCCTACGAAAGCTCAACCTCAGATTGCAATCAACTTTGCTAAGAATCCGATTCTGATTACTATTTTGACGGTTTTTGAAATTCAAGTACTGTCGCTTCTACATATCAATAGCAAAATCCATAGCAAAAATTAATATTTGCATATTTCTCTTTACTAAGAACAACTTATAAAAACATACTATAGCTGTACGATATTTTTACATTACAAAACATTTTTCTTTCAATCTCCGTGAATAGTCCACAAGTGATTTTGGCCTAATGATAAAAATGCAAAAGCGTATTTTTTTTGGTGTTAATTATTAAGTCATAATCCTAATATCAATAAACGATTACACTAAGAAGAACCAGTGGGAAGTGGATTCATTTGCAGGAACATCGACCTAAATTTTCATAACTGCTATTCCTCTTGCACAATTATAAACAGTGGGCAGTTCGCGTAAGTGAAGTTAAATATACAAGCCAAGAGTCATATTTGTTTCCTATTTAATCGTACATAAATACTTAAAAAAAATCGATACTGTTGTAACATTTTCCATTTTAAATCTATAAGGTAGATATAGACGTTCCAAAATCAAAGAACATTTTATGCTACCTTTGCTTTAAATTCATGGGAAAACGTTGATTATTTTATGGGAGAAAAGGTTGTACATTCTTCACCAGAAAACTTCAGTGGATTATTCCATTTCAAAATTTTGCATGCATCCCGTAAATTAAAAATCATATTACGGTAAATAAGCATTTTTTGTTAAAACAACCTATATGTCTTGCGTCTGGAAACGTTACACCCCCGAGAGAGCAGAAATAAATTTGTAGTGCCTTGCCATGTCAGGCCCATTCTTCTTCTCGTCGCCTATCTTAAGAATATAATAAAGATATGACGGACGTACTTTTCAACCGACGTGTGTGTTTGTGAAAAGCCCTATTCGCCTGTTTACATTTAGATCTAAATTCGGCCGTGATGCATGATGGGGTCCGGAAATAATGGCTTCTTTTCACGGAGGAAATAAATGGTTTGTTTTACGCCTAGGAGTGAACAATCTAAAGCTTAATTGGACTTGAATTGAAGAGAATCGAAACCTTCCACTAAAGTTTTCCTTTTGTGGTCATTCTTCCGAAAATTGTACAACTTTAGAACGAGAACTAGCAGGCAGGTTGGAGAAAAAGAGAAAGAAAAACATTTAAAAAAATTGTTGGTTTTTGTAGAGGCCTGACAAAAATTTTGTTTCTCTGAAAGCTTACCAAAGGAAAAAACGCATTATTAATTTAATATCTGCGAAGCTTCCGCTTATGTGTAGGAGGTAATTAATCAAATTACCAAATATTTCAGTTAATATTTCTGGGGAAAGAAATCTATTTGGACAAAATACGGTTAAAGTCAATCCTAATTGAAATGGACGTGTTGTTGGAATTTTATATGGTTAATCTCCTTCGCAACTGCCATTAACCGGTATCTATAATTCATAGATTTATGAATTGTGGCATATGTATCATTAGCATGTCCCACTAACCGATCATTAGCAATTTAATAAATTTATCAGAATTATGCTTCCCATCTAATTAAATTATAATTCAATCGTTTCAATCATACTGTCGGCAGGATTGTGAATTTTTCTCCATGCTAGATAAATTTATTTTCATTTGTTCATTGTTTATTTGTTTCATGTTATTTTTTTTAACGCACGAGTATTTAAAAGTCCATTAAGAAATTAAAAAAAAAATCCAATCTGCATAAATTATTTTTTTTAATTCACTGTTGGCATTTTCCACAAAATGAATAGCGACATTTTTGTTCGCTATCAAAACACAAATTGAAACTGACTGACAATTTCGAACACGCAAAACTCACGATTGCTTATGTAAATCGTGTCGGTATATGCAGGAATGGCAAGTGCCCTGCATATCGTGCAGAATCGTCTCATATCTGGGCGATCTGCTGTTATTTGGCGAACGCGATTCCGTATTTAGGGTGTTTAGGATGGGAATTCATATCCAGTATTTTCCATATGTTATTCAGTTTGTTGAGTGAACCTGCAAACTTCCAGTTGAGTGGATAATTCAGCAGTTAAATTTCTCAAAAGCCCGATTTCAAGAGGAAAGACACATTAAGGCGGTTAAGGTCAGAGTTATTACGCCTTCCCTTCGAACGATCGTTATAATTTTTCAGATTTTCACCGTTCCGTTTCCGTTTCGGTCTGTGACGAAATCAGGTGGATTTATCGTTGATTGAAACCAGCCTTTTCACGGGCGAAGTAAACGTTCAATTGAAACGACCCTATACGGCGCTCCAGAATTAGGAAGATACGAAACCACAAAAGCCGAACGAATTCTTTCGATAACGTTGAATGATTTAACTTCGATCCGCTTTAAAATAAACGTGCCCTTTCATTTGCTGCTCCACAACGTTTAGAGATCCAGGCTGCTGATTTTCCACCTCGATACGTAAATTTGCTATCAGGATTTTTCACGTTACACCAAATGTTTGCTTAACAGGTTGTTTTAAGTGGAAGTCTTTTCACTGATGCGAATTCATATTTTCTCCAATTCCAACAATACGTATCTAATCAAACGGAAAAATATTTCCGTCTTTGCTTGCCGATTTACATTACACTTCAGGGCAAATAAGACACATACCGGATCGGTTTGCTTTCGTCGTGTGAAATAACGCGAATCGATATTCTTATCCAAAGACAATTTTACTTGACAAAACAACTTTGCAACTCCATCGAGCCAAAGTGATTGCCAAGTAAATCATTATTTCCCCAGAGAAGTTTCAGCTAGAAAGCTTCATTCATCGATTATTAACTAGTGCTAATTATGGCTTACAAATTTAGCAATTCGCTTCGCATCTTCAAGTGAATATGGGAATGAGAATAATTGATAGTCAACGTGGAAATAAATGGAGCACCAAATCCGCCAAAAAAACGTAGATTTTAGCATCGCAGACAAAAACCTTGTTTTGCTTTATGCTTGCAAAGCGTCCCAAAACTTTTCATCTAGATCACGTCCTGATATGACATTTCCATTAGCATTCACTTCCAAGGTCGCAGTCCCTTTTCCATTGCCCAGACATAATAAAAGTTGATAATTTGATCTAGAAATTTCCGAATAAACTTGAACTTGTTTGGCTTAGACGGCGCAAGAAAAAAACAGAAAGGCGAAAAGTGGATTATCTGTGCTTTTGTTTTTACAGGTCCCGATTTGATCCTGGCTCCTGCCAGTTTTTCGCCGCAAAACTCGGATTATTGACCTAGAAGAACACTGATGTTGGATTAAGGCGAGAGCTTGTGGGGAACGTATAGTTTGCAGCGTGCTCTTAAACAGAAAGTCCAATTGGGCCAAGGCTGGGCTAATAATATTGTAAAAGCTTGGTGAACCCGAATAATTCATGATACAAGATTGACAAAGAAATGGTGCAATTACGGTTTCAAAAGCTCGTTTAAAAATGTATTATATTGTACATAGTTTATGTATCTAGGAAATGTTATAATTAGATTGTAAGTATTTTTTTCTGGAATCCCGGCTTCTGGATTGACGTGCTTTGGGTCCTAAAAACACCCAACGGGAATACCTTCCGATCGCCTATATTTACATTAGCGACGGTTTCACTATTAAATTGTACAATACTTTTAATTAATTTACTACTTTTATCAGTGCCATAATTTCTTAAATATGAACCACAGTACAAATTATTCGTTTACTTAATGTATGAGAAATGATGTCAAAGTTAAAAATCCAGGATATATAGGGCGTCCGAAAAATTTCTTCTAAAAATAATACCCCAGATTTCTGGAGCCGAAACATCGTGATTTATCCTAATTTGTTTAATACGAAACTGGATGGTTTCCGTCAATTTTTAAATTAGTTTGTTGGTAAACTACTATCCGAACGAAATCTCGTATCGGGGGGTTTTAGCGGGTGCGAAATCAGAATCTGTTAACATGTTCTATGCAGAGTGAAGATGGCCTTTGTCAGAAACGTGCGAATCTTATTTAAAATTGCATTTTTTCTTGCATCGCAAATTCGTGGGCGGCCACTTTTGGAGTAGACAAATTAAGCCAAATCATCATGCTTTCACCCCAGTAATAGTTTTACAGACTTTTTACAGATACCCTCTACCTATTTACAAAAATCTATTTCAATAAGTTGAGAAAAACGCCGACTTCGACAGTTATATAATTCTAATCGCCATTTGAAAAAAACGAGACTGTTTATTAATTGATGATTCGACGACGATTAATTATACGGTAAATGTCATCGGAATATATTGTTTTAAACTTTGACATTCAAACTTGTTAGTCAATAATAGGCTAAGCTGAATTTCGTCTGTATAAGGCTGTATCTATTTTTAATCCCTCAATATGTATTAATAAGTTAGTTCCTAGCAATAAGTGTAAATAGAGCGTTGAATAATAATTCGGAACATGATCCCGAGTGGATGAAGAACCCCAGGCTTATCATGGGCAGCAAAAACCGTCTATTTATTCAATCAACAATCGCAGTATTTGTAAAAACCAAAAATTACTCCCGACTCAGGTATTTTCTTTATTAAACCTATAGAAAACTGTTTGGTGTTTTAATTCCTCGGAACAAACCTGATTTGTATATCATAAAACAAGTGCCAGCACAATCGGCCAGTTTCATGCTCGAAACAAATAAATTCCAGTTAAAGCTGAACTCCAGATATGAAACAACACGTAATTAGCGAAAACAGAACATTTGCTCATTCAGCAAAGCGGTATTTTTTGAACCCAACACATTTTCGTTTTATTTATTAGTTCTTGTCGGACGTTTTTTCCGTTATCCGCTAAGATGTAATAAATTAAACCCGCGAGTAACGGACCATATAGAAAAAAATCTCACTCTGCGACAGTTATATTAACGATATATTTTGTGAAGAGCTCCGCAGGCGCCGGCCTTTCTTATAAAAATATGTGCTCTTTAAATAAAAAATGGAAAAAGTTATCGACAGCTGAAATATGAAGGTTTTCTTCAATTAAATTGAGGGAAAGCGTTCTATTGCCCGAGAACATTTTTGCAACTTGATTTATCTGAATCTGTTGGGGTTAAGTAAATAAAAATTGCATCGATAGAATGCTTTTTTATATCTGCCAAAAATTGAGTGTTGATTGTTGCTAAAGTTGGTTGTTTAATGGCCTCATTTTTCATGCACCGTTGGAGTCGCTTCCAAAATATGCCGCTCGCGTTCGAAATTGAACTCGACAATAGTTTTTTTACATTATTTTCGGTTATTACGCAGCGTTGAAAGGGCTACGCTAATTTCTTTTCATGTTTTGTAATTTTTTATTACCTATACGGATAAAGGGATATATTGCTTTTTTTGGCGCTGATTCCGACACGTTTTTAATTGCAGCTCTTGCCGAGCAGATCGATACTTTTGTAGCATCGCTACAGTTGCAACAAGTACCTGAAATGTTGATTCGCATATTTAGAAGACCAGATAGAATGGGAAGAAATGTTGATCGTGAAGAAGTTGGTTCAGTTTTACTTGAGGTAAGTGGAGTGAGTTGTTCTAAGGCGCGAACGGAAACTTTCCACGCATTGATTCAAGTTATATGCATTTTGTTGGCGGCTCGGGTGAGTAAACTCATGTTAAAACAGGTCGGTCCGAAGTCGTAAAGTGTCTGGCTTGTGTCCTGTGCATATGGCAAGCGGAAGAAGGTCGGGGACGACACGCAAGTTGTCGCGTTTTGCTCGGACGTGTCGCGCATTCCAAAGCAATGCCGTTCCAGAAGTTTTCCTGTCACTTCCAACAACCGGAACCGTTCCATACTTTGCGCTAGCAAGATCCGAAAAAGTAAACATGCACGATCGAGTTTGCCGGTTTTTCTGGATTCGTAAAATGCAATTTCCACGTCAGGTTTGTCGGGTCAGAACAGTGGCTGTGTAATTTTTATGCGAGTATTAAAATGCATATACTTGGTCTGGAAGACCAATAAGTTAGCTATTTCAATTATGTAAAGATTTAAAACCGTTGTGGGGTTGCTAGTCCTCCATCGCGGCGCCTCTCCGGGTGGCGGATTACAATTAGACTGACAGACCCTCATCCTCATCCTCAGAGTGCCACTCACACTCATTATCAGCTGGTTCATACTCGCCATTAACGATGGTGTTTCTCTTCTCGTATAAAGGAACATATAACCGATGGTATTTGCATTCAAGATCATGAACTTCTTTGAAGAAAAGCGCTTCAATTTGGTGGTTTCTAGTCGCTACATGGAATGTACAAAGTATATACGAAAGCGGATAAACCCATAACATAATAAAAGAAACGAATAGGCTGAATATAGACATTATGGGCGTCAGTGAGACCCACTGGCCCGACTCTGGACAATGCAAGATACTTCACCACACAGTATACTACTCTGGCAATGACAACTCACAATATAGGAACGGAGGGGGCATAGTTGTTTCCCCACGTATCCAACCAACGGTTAGAATCTTCACAACTTTCTCAGACAGAATGATGCTCCTGCAGCTGCACGCCACCCCATTTGACGTCAATGTCCCATTCAAATATATGCACCAACCGCCGACAAAGACGACGCCGTTTTTGAAGAATTCTATGAACAACTAGAACGTTTGATTAAGATGACGAACAAACAGGAGATACCCATCATAATGGGCGTGTGCCAGGCACCACAGGGGATTTCGGACTCGATGAAAAAAACGAAAGAGGGGACCGTCTTATACAGTTCTGCCAGGATCATAACTTACTACTCAGTAACACCATATTCAAACTCCCCCCTTGCAGAATCTACAAGTGGAAATCGCCAGCAGACTCTGCGGAAAAAATAGTTAGAAATCAAATCGACTATATAGCTATACCCAACAGATTTAAAAACTCAATAAGATCTGCAAAAACCTATCCAGGAGCAGATGTCCCCTCAGACCACATTCCAGTTGTGTGTAGGTTTGAACTGAGGTTGAAACGAATCAAGAAGGCACCCTCTAAGAACAACATGGATGTTCAAATAACATTTAAACAATGGATACAGTTATTGTCCAAGTTTACGTTTCAATGCTGAATTCCTGATAAGATGTTAAAGATTCCCGTTAAGGTCTCAAATCAGCCGTGTCTGTCGGGCCAATTGGGAATCTTAGACACCCCGCTAAGCGGTACAACTGCTCGAATACAAAGGGCATTGTGAAATCAGAAGGGCAACAATTGACTATTGAGCAAAAAGCAAATAACATAACTGTGCTCGGCTACTCTTTTCACTATTGAAAGTTTAAGTCTTTGAAGCGATCACCCAACAGAGTCGAGCACAGAGCGTGGGAAATACCCTGTTTCCCTCACCCTGCACTTCTGATTTCCTGTTTACCTCAGTCGAAAAAGTGACCAGAGATCATCAGTTTGTATTCTCACCTCAAGTCGAACACAGTTTGTATTTTCACTCGAACACAGCATGTATTCGCACCTCAAGTCGACCACAGTTTGTATTTTCACTCGAACATAGTTTGTTGTGTCTCCTCAAGTCGTAGACAGTTTGTAATTTCACCTCAAATCGTACACAGTTAGTTGTTTCTCCTCAAGTCGTACAAATCGGGAGTGTCTGTGAAAAGTGCCTCAAAACCCAACCCGTAATTATTCACCCTCAAATCAAATCAGTGCTCAAGTGAACTAATTGGAAACAGTTCCCCACTCAAGTAGAATAATTAAGCCACTCAGCCCATTTTAAAGAACGTACTGCCCAGGCCAATTAGAAAAAGTGGCAAAATAAACGTGCCGCCCGTGCAAGTTCGGCGGGCACATCTCAAATTGGCAGATTTATTTCCTCCTGCAACTACTCACAAGGATACCCACCAAACACTGGTACCCCACACTCATTGGTCCTTCGAACAAAATAAATTTTCCCCCATATACTCGTGTCTGGCATATTAAATTATTTATCCAAGTGAGACGAGTACATTTCGGTCTCACGAACTGGATTTGACCAAGGTCATAAAGGTGCCACCTCCAACATTAGGGCAAACGAGCAAGATCAGGTTAGTTTAGAACTTGATCCCCCAACATTTGGTCCTTACGAGCCGGATCAGATTAGTTTAGAACTTGATCCCACAACAATAGACATAGGGAAACTGTCCGACAGAAATATTCGGAAACAAGTGCAGGAATCGCTGACTAACAATTTAAAGAAAATCAACAACACGAGTAAAGCAAGACAAATGGGATAAACTCAAAAACTCTATACAAGCAAATTGTGAAAAATATTTGCAAAAAGATGAAAACAGAAAACAAGAGTGGATGACACAAGAGATCCTCGATATGATGGACGAAAGACGGAAGCATAAAGGTGAAAACAACACAAATTACCGTGAAATTCACAAAAACATAAGGAAAAAGATTAGAGAGGCAAAGGAAAAATGGTTCTCTGAAAAATGTGACAAGATAGAACAATATGAAGTGAAGTACGACTACCGCAATATGCATAAGGAAATAAGGGAAATGACAACAAAGAAAATAAACAACAGAAATACGTTCATACTGGAAACTAACCATAATATTATTTCGGAACCATCAAAATGTCTAGAGGTATGGAAATCATAGGTCGAACTCCTCTTTGCTTCGGAACGATCTAAAGAACACAATATGAATGAGATAGGTAAGGGACCCCCAATTATGAAATCCGAAACTGAAAAAGCTATTCTATCTCTCAAGAACAACAAAGCTCCTGGACCTGATAGCATTCAAGTAGAAATACTAAAACTTATGTGTGAAACTGATAATCAATTTATTGATATCCTCACGAGTCTATTTAATGATATCTGTCTACAAAGAATGGCTTCATTCTTCATCGCAGTGCCGAAAAAACAAGACGCAAAAACCTGTGATCAGCACCGACTCATCAGCATCATCAATCATATTACAAAAGTCTTCACGAAAATAATCCACAACAGAATATACAATAAATGTGAAGAAAACCGCAGTGAATCCGAATTTGGATTTCCGAATGCCCTTGGGACAAGAGAAGCTATCTTTAGTCTACAAGTTCTTATCCAACGATGTAGAGATGTCAACAAAAAAGTATATCTTTGCTTTATCGACTTTGCCAAAGCGTTTGACAGCGTACACCATGAGCTATTACTAAAGATAATCGAAAATACCGGCATCGATAATAAAGATATCCTCATAATAGCAAACATGTATTGGGGACAAACCGCTAAGATAAAGCTGAACAACCGGTATTCTGACAACATATAAATTAAAAAAGGGGTGAGGCAGGGCTGCATCCTGTCTCCGCTCCTCTTCAATATATACTCGAAAAACGTATTTGGAAAAGCGTTGGAGGAGGGAACAGAGGGTATACAGATAAACGGAGAGTGGATTAACAATGTGCGATATGCTGATGATACAGTCATACTAGCTAGACTAGACATACATACTAGACTGACCACATAACTAATAAAGAGGTGCTGCAGCGAATTGGGAAAGAGAGAGAAATTACACTCACAGTTAAAAAGAGGAAACTGGAATACCTCGGACACATAATGAGACATCAAAAATATTGTCTACTCCAGTTAATAGCCCAAGGAAGGATCAAC